TGAGTAAGAACAAGTAGTAAGTTAATAGAGCGTTGATGTCAGATTGAAAATTTACGTCCTTTGTGCAACGGATATCAACCGCGAAATATGATTCGAATTTGCTCCCATAGCGGACGAGTTGGATCGGCATCTTAATACGCTGTAATTATGGATTAAAGTTACTGTTAACGAGAGACTCGACTGACAAGTTTACTCGGCAAATAGAGACCAGTTAATTCGTGTACACTATCGAATAACCGTCGTGTACTTTAGGTGCAGTAGATAGTCTTAAAGCGTTATTTAGAATAGGATGATACTGATTTAGAGATTATTCGAATTAGATCGATTTTTATTCGTTCATTAAAACTTTGAAATACGTATATCTTTGTGCTTGTAAATAAAATTGTTAAGTTGAAACAATTTAACAATATTTATATACAATGTAAAAAAGAGGATGCATCTTCTTCTTTAAAAAAAAAAAAAAAAAAAAAAAAGGAAAAGAACAAAAAAAAAAGAAAAGAAAAGAGAAAAAGCAAATTATAAGACGAAATGTACAAAATATTTCGTCATGGTTGACACGTAACTATGATCGGCTCGTACGAAACGAGGCTACTCACTGTATCATGGACATTTAGTTGATTTAGGATCGCAATAAAGGTCGTTCATGCGACTCGCTCTTGCTTGTACACTGTACAGCCATCGTTTATCCGGTTGTAGGCTGAAACAATCGAGGGTCGTTGCAGTTTGCAACTAGAGCCACGTTTCCAATTAGCACGCTTACGAATCGGAAGGATATGACCCTGAGCAAATACCAGCGATCATTATCCTCCGAAAAATTCATCCGATAGGTTACGTTAAATAATAATTAATTTCATGTCAATTAGATTATAAAAGATATTATATGTAAAGAATTAGAAAAATACGAATGGCATTTTCCTTTTCCCTTTTTTTCTTTCTTTCTTTCTTTCTTTTTTTTTATTTTTTATTTTTTTTATTTTTTTTTTTTTTTTTAATTATAAGTAGCAACAGAATTCTGATAAATGGGAAAGAAAATTTGTGACGTGAAAGACGATGATTAATTCTTTTCTAAAAGAAAATATCACATCGTCCGGAAACGTCGGACGTTTCTATTCGGCCGAATGTTTGTATAAAGTCGTTCCATTCCCTCTCTCATTCTCTCTCTCTCTCTCTCTCTCTCTCTCTCTCTTCCTCTCTTTCATTCTTTCTAGCCATTTAATCGTCGGTGTCATTTAAAATTCCATTTAACGCGATTGTGTTCGGACGCGAGGAAATTCGTTAAAATACGTTTTCCGCCTCTTAACGCTCGTTGCGGTTTCTCGCTCGATTCGCGAAGCCTTCACAAAGCTTTAGCGAACAAGTTCCTAGGAGCATGCGCATGCGAATATAAGCATGCGACTAACGCATAATTCGGGATGCGCGTTGTCGGATGTAACGGAAATTGCGATCCAATTAGCCGAAATAATAATGTCGATAATAGCGCGGGTTGACACGCTCGCTATGCTCTCGTGCATGGAATATTCGTTTTAATCGTGCAAATCCGTGTCGGCGTACCGACCGGCTATCCATAACGCGTTTATTCGCGGCTCAACGAACTTGACTAATCCTAACGCGATCATTTATACTATATATCGTCATTTTCTTAACATCACATTATGTATATATTCGATTAATGAAATACAATGGCGTACTATGTCAAAATTTGCAAATCTTAACTATCAAAATAAATAAATAAATTATAGATATTCATTCGATACAATTATCCATAAAGGTTTATAGATACTTTCTAAAATATTCATAATTATAATAAGCTATACGAAAATATTGAAATTCTAAGTATCAGAATAATTGTATTTTCATTGTGTACATTAACTTAGAGAATCATAGAAATTTTCTAGAACGTCGATGAAACCACAAACACAAACCTATTTTCGTATGAATGCAAAAATGGGATATAAAGGGAGAATAGAAAAACGAAAGGGAAAAGGGAAAGAAAGAAAGAAAGAAAGAAAGAAAGAAAGAAAGAAAGAAAGAAAGAAAGAATGGAAGATAGAGAGACAAAATGTAGCGACGAATCCAAGCAAACTAGAGAAAAAAAAAGTAAGAGAAAACTCGCTATGTAGAATCGTCTACTTTCTCTCTCTCTCTCTCTCTCTCTCTCTCTCTCTCTCTCTCTCTCTCTCTCTCTCTCTCTCTCTTTACATACTTCGTATACGTACAGAGCGAGCGTTTTCAAACTTTTCCAGTTTTACGTTCTTTCAAGCATAAAATGTCTGGCCTTTTCCAACGTGGAAACTTGAGTACCCGCATAAGTTATATGCACCAAATTCACCTGTGTGTTCTGAGACGCACGTATTCGCACATGTACAACCCAAGCCCATCTAAACGATATTTCTAGTATCTATTTGATACGTACATAAATGTGTACGTGTATGCATATTTTATATATATATATATATGAACTAAGTAAGACCATATACAAAGCTATAAGAGAAGATGTATTACGCTGCAAGGAAGGAGGTATTACGTTAATTTCGTTAGCGAGTATCTCGAAGGGTAAATGCATTCGTCGTCAATTTCATTGTGTCGATAATTAAACCGAAAAGATGTCGAGTACCATCCGTTATAATTCCAAAGGGGTTGCATAGATACATAAACGTTCATATAGAGAAACGTATAGGTAGATTGGTCTCTAGAGTTTAGGACCGATCTTTCTTCGAACAAATTATAATTAATCACGACCGTTTACACTAGACTACTCGTTAGATGGATCAACTAATTAAAATTAATTACAAACGTTCGTGATCGTGCGACACGATGTTCCAGAGGTAAATTTTCGCGATGCGTTGTTTGCCTATACAGACTATCTCTATCTCTATTTCTCTCGTTGTCTACATCTTTACTTCCCAAAGGAACTTCTCTTTGCCCTCTCTCTCTCTCTCTCTCCCTCTCTATCTCTCTTTATTCATTCATCTGGCTTTGTTTCCTTATCGATCATGATGATGTCTTTCTACTTGAAAACTTTCTCTAACCTTAAGTGTCGACTATTGAAACGTTTAAGTATCGTTATCATCGGACTATTTTATACACGGGCTATTCTCTTTCAAGTCTAATAGTTTCCTCGAATTGCTTTTACTAACATAGATATATATATATATATATATATATATATATATATATATATATATATATATAGAGGTATGTTATATATTCGTTAAAAAGATTTTACGTAGAGAGGTAGGAAAGGTAAAGAGAACAGGGAGGGACGAGGGGGAGAGGGATGGAAAGCGGGGCGAGCACGTTTCGCGCGAAAGTTAATTATCGCAGCTCGCTACGGAAACGCGAACTCGAGTGCTAGAGTGTTTTGAAAGTTCGTTCGTTGTACTTGACTAGAGAAGGGCTAATAGCTGTCCCGCGTAATACCGGTTGTTACGAGTTACTCGATCGTTCAAACCTTCATAGTTTTCGCACAAATGTAAATGTAAAGATGCAACCTGTGAGTGTCAATTTTGATCGTTCCTTTTTTTCATTGAAATTTACGTACGCATATGCAGTAATGAAAAAAAAAACAAAAAAAAAAAGAAAGGAAAGAGAAAAAAAGGATTCCAATCGATAGAACAAATTATCGGCTGCCACGGCATTTTTTCTTTTTTTTTGTTTTTTTTTTTTTTTTTTTTTACTTTTTTTTTCTCTTTTTTCTAATCTAAAGTAATAAATTTATTTTCGATTTGTTTCTAATCATTTTAACAAATTTATCAATAATTGTGCCGTTTAGTTAATCGTTCAAATAAAAGAACAAATTCCTATAAGAACATAATGCTGGTAATCGGTTCGAGAAGTTGTTTCTCTTACAAATCGCATTCAAAGCTTAGGCGAGGTACGGATTATTTAACGATCCGTTCGGATTCCCCGGATCGTGTAACGTACGATCGACGATTAAATTCTCTCGTTATAGAGAAAGCCCGTACAATAATGGATCGAATGGCATTACGAGCACACGACGCGTACGTTTTATCGAACGTGAACCGAAAGGATCGTTTCGATGCACCACGTAGTATGGCATCGTTAAGGGTGCAATTTATTGCAAGAATTATTCTTCGTCGTGAATGGTGAAGCGGAAATCTCTGCATAACAGAAAGAGAAGAGAAAGAGAGAGAGAGAGAGAGAGAGAGAGAGAGAGAGAGAGAGAGAGACAAGTATATACATAACATTTCAGGCAATTTCCTTTTTCTTTCTTTTTTTTCTCCTTCTTTTTTCTTTTTTTCTTTTTTATTTATTTATTTTTTGCACATTTTTCATTGATTCAACTCTGTTTACTTTCGGTTTCTCTTCGAGAGCGTAGTTTCAGCTGGTTTTCAGCCTTCGGGGTGAGGAATTCGAACGATCGAACGAAACCTGGAAAAACAGTAAACCGAGCATCGAGACGAATTTATTCCAGCGTGATCCTTTGCCATCGAGACGTCGCTCAAATGCGTTCTCGCGATTCGACGAGCGAAGTAGAGGAAACGAGAAAGAGAGAAAAAGCGAGAGAGTGAGAGAGAGAGAGAGAGGCAGAGCTTTTACCAACCAGGGTTGTTGGCACAAGCCGTTGGCTGTTAACTTGTTCGAAACCTTCTGCGTTAGTACTAGCGGACACTTTAATTCGTCTATCACACGTATATATATATACATATATATATATATATATATATATATATATATATACATATATATAACAGAACTCTCTTGCACTTGGCAGCTTACACGTACGTACATGCGCCGAGATTTTCAAATAAAAATACTCCTCTCTCTTACTCTCTTTTTTCTTCTTTTAATCTATCGTAAAGTTTTCATCTATGCTCTTATCGATCCCTCAAGATCGAACTAAGAATCCTCTATCGTTCATAATTTTTCTTTTCTTTTTGCTTTTTGTTCCTTTCCCCCCACCCCACCCCATCTCCCGCCCCACCAATCCTAAGATACAATCCACAAATTATACTCAGGCAGTGAAATTTTAATTCCAGGTGATTTTTCATTGCACATATATCCGGTTGAGCTTGAGGATGATGGCGTTTATCAGTGCCAGGCCTCGCCGACGAACGACGGTCAACCAGCCTTACGATCGAGATTTGCTCGTTTGAGTGTATTGGTGCCGCCTGAACCACCGAAGATCCTTCAGGGGGACTTTCTCGTGACGACTGAAGATCGAGAGCTCGTAATCGAGTGCGTTAGTGTTGCTGGAAAACCACCGGCAGAGGTAAGATCGAACATTGATAAATAATGGATCGTTATTTGAGATAAGAAAAGTTAAAGAAAATTGAGAGAAAATGTATATATATATATATATGTGTGTGTGTGTGTGTGTGTGTGTGTGTATGTATATATATACATTAAAAAATGAAAAGAAAAAAAGTAACGCACATGTAATAATGGTAAACTTAAGTTAATAATAAAGGAACGGAACTAGTTTAAAGTAAAGGGAACAAAAAAAAATGGAGAAAGAAAAAGATGGAAGGCGTTGAGCGAATAGAAAATTTGACGGACAAGGCGCCAACTCGAAGGTTACGCTTGATCGATTATACGTCTCGCGTCGTTCCTTGAGGAAATCGATGTCGCGTTGCAATTGTTGCTGACAGTGACGTAGGTCACGTTGAAATATGTCAGTGGTGATAATGATGGCGGTGGTGATGACGATATCTCGCCATTCCCACAACTATAGGCCATCTCCTAGGAGACGAGCTAGAATGCAAAGGACGCTTGCAAGGGAATGCAACCATCCATAGTGACAATAATATTTGTGCGTTCTCACGTTATATATGCAAGGTTATCTTAAAAAGATCTCGTCACCCATTTTTCACTTTTATCGTGTTAACTTGACATATTTATAACTCGTAGCATTTGGACACGTTAGATAAATTGGTGAAAAGAGTAAAGAGTAGAGAGTAAAGAGAGAGAGGGGGGGGGTGGGAAGACTATTCGGTGAGCACAAAAAACATATAAATATAATTAAAAACGATGTCTTACAATTTTTGTGACTAGCAGTACCTGGAAACATATGTAAGTTTATGAATAGAGTACAGAAAAAGAGAGGAGAGAGAGAGAGAGAGAAAAAAAGAAAGAGAAAGAGAGGAAAGAAGAGAAACAAATCAGTGACCGCAAAAAAACGTATAAATATAACTAAAAACTATACATAATGATCATAGGTGGTGGTAATAGTTGTGTGACTAAAGGATAATGGTAATGGTGAGGAGCGTGTGTATAAAGGAAAAAGAGAGCAAAGGTCAAGAGTCAAAACGGGACGAACGAGCTCGTCCGGGACAACGTTAAGAGAACGGTAATGGATCTTTAGCTGGTACGTGTTTGCCCGTATTTCCGGCTTTTCGTGGTACATCGTGAACGCGCGAGCACAAGCTTACCCTACCAGAATACTTTTAACACGATAGACCGCGAGTGACTTGGCGAAATGGCAGCTTGACCGAGTTCGGCTCCTCTTTGAACGAGCTGGAACCACCAGCGGCTGCACCACTACCACCAGCGGCTACACCACCACCACCAGCGGCTACACCACCACTACCACCATCACCACCATTACACCATCACTGACATCGCCAACGTTAACCACCGGCAAGAACGGCCCGCCCTCTTCTCGTGGTGTACCTACTACTGGGAAGGAAAAAAAAAGTTCTGTATCTTTGAGATCACAGGGTGCAGCTTTACGAGGAGAAAAAAGAACGCCGCTAGCCGTTAAGAAGAGGAAAAAGAAAGAGAGGGAGGTAGAGACAAAGAGACAGAAAGACAGAAGAAAGAGAGAGAGAGAGAGAGAGAGAGAGAGAAAAAGAGAGGGAAATAGTACCCTCGTATAGAGCCAGTTCACGATGCGTTTCTTCTTCAGCCTTCATTTGCCATACTCTATCTTTATCCATCCTACTTTCCTGACGATGTCTCTCTCTCTCTTTTTCTCTCTCTCTCTCTCTCTCTCTCTCTCTTTCTCTCTTTCATTCTCTTTCTTCTTACTCTCTACACACGTATACCTAGATCATACATGTCGTCTCTGAAACGACACTTGCTTTGACTCCTGCGCCATTTAAATCCTAGTATCATTAACCCTTTAGAATCAGAGTGTCGTACACTCAGCCAAGCACGATACACATCGTCTATATACTTAGGTGTATATATATATATATATATATATATATATATATATATATATATATCAACGAAGATCATACAACACACGTAGGATACATTAAATCATGTATATACATTGAAATCTTTACGAGATCAACCTATCGCATCTTCTCATCCTTTACGTCGTTCCTTCTCATGTTTTAATCTCAGCAATTCGCGAAAAAGTATACATATATCCTCATCGTGCTTAACGTAACTTAACTTAAGTTACAATAACATATCATACTATATCATACCATACCATACCATACCATACCATACTATACCATACCATACCATACCATACCTTACCTTACTTTATCTTACCTTACCTTACCTTACCTTACCTTACCTTACCTTACCTTACCTTTTACTTCACCTTACCTTACCTTAGCTTAGCTTAGCTTACCTTACCTTTCCTCAGGTCCTCCGTAAAGCTCAGCAAATTGGAATTAATCGTCGTCCAGCGAGCACGAAAGATCGATCCAAACCTTTTGTTGTTTGCTTGCTTGCTTGCTTACTTGCTTACTCAAGCGAGATACCTACGTTTCATTTAACACACGTGAGTTCACGTTGACGTCTCAATTTTGCGTGTACATGCTCTTTCCTCGTGATCTCTCGAGGCAACTCGAATTTATTAATTATGAATGATTTTCGATCGTAGTTGTTTCGATAAAAGAAAGAAAAAAAAGAAAAAAAGAAAAAGAAAGAGAGAGAAAGTAAGTTTAAGGTGGGATATCTATCAGTTAAGGTCACGTAACCGGTTAAACCAGAGATATTAATGAAATTTCCTTGGAGACTATTCGCATAGTTTTTAATTAAAATTATGCAAATCCTTGATTAATGATGCAAACCGTCGTCCGATTTCAGAAGCGATCGTTGAATATATAATTGTGATGCCAAAGTAAACAAAGGAGAAGAGAGAGAGAGAGGGAGAGGGAGAGGGAGAGAGAGAGAGAGAGAGAAAGGAGTGGAAAAAGGGTGGTTCGTAAAAGTTTTTCGTATCTGTAGATTCCTTTTGGGATATGAACGTCACGAAAGTCTTCACCCTTAAAGTTATAAACGAAAGCTTTCGTGTCGTCATTGACGCAAAATCTCCTTAGGATTCTTTAATCCTAAGTTAAACATTTTTACATTTTACGAAAAAACAAAAATGTCTTATTAAGGATAGAAAAGAAATAAAAAAAATGGAAAAAAAGAAAAGAAAAGAGAAGAAAAGAAAAGAAAAGGAAGATGCAATTTATTAACGACACTCGTCGATCGAGTAGAACTCTCAATGAAACGAATACATTCTATGTGAATAAAATTGCAATTGCATTAGTCACACTCGAATTGTCATTAACGTTCGTCCTCCTATCTTACAGGGAGGGGGGGGGGAATGTGTCTGCATAGGAGAAGTACACAATAGCCATTACTCATTGTTTCTACAAATAATCGAACAAAAATGTGAATGGGAAAAAATGAGAGAAATTGAGAAAGAAAGGAAGTGAGAAAGAGAGAGAGAGAGAGAGAGAGAGAGAGAGCGAGTGAAAGAAAGAGAGACAGAAAGAGAGAGAGAGAGAAAGTCGTGCGTACAACCGAGTATACTCGCCAATCTTCTAAAATTCATCGATCACGCGCTTTTTCAAACCGCACAGCGGAGAAATAATTGCGATATTCTTCAGCAAGGCAGAGCCATTGTTCGATTATTGAAAGCCTCGTCGTTCGACTCGAAACGCTTCGGAATCTATAGAATATATACTCGCCCTCAACTCGGTTAGTCGTAAATAGACTGTCCGTCGTATGACAAAGAATGAAATTACAACTATCTCTTTTTATTTTTTCTTTCTCTCTCTCTCTCTCTCTCTAGTTTTAGATTTACCGATCATTTCTTTTTTTTTTCCTTACTCTTTCTTCTTTAGTCTTTTCTTTTTTTGTTTTTTTTCCTTATTTATGGCTAAGATCTTTAATGGATTTAATGGTCGATGAATGACTATCATGCCATATATTTAACAATCGAATCGAATTGCGCTGCTCTCGATGATGAAAAACACGGAATAAATATTTTACTCGCTAATTCAATGTATGGATATCTATGTATATTAGTGCCATATATATATATATATATATATATATATATATATATGTATATGTAAAGAGGGGGCGTACTAAACGGATGTATCCATTCCCGGTGGAATAAAGTACCCTGTATAATATCGCTTTGTTTCCGTTTACTCGTATTTCAATGGTAGTTTTGCAATGTTCGTTAAGAGATAAACGTATATCGTTCCATCCGAGTGCATTGTCTTTACGTGAAACGTTAAGTATAATCAGATTATATATTCTTTAGTTGGAAACGTGTTCAAATTAACAATAAAAGTTTCTTCTTTGGAAAGCACGAGTAATCCCTCCTTTCTTTTTTTTTTCTTTTTTTTCTTTTTTTTTTTTCTTTTTTCTTTTTAGTTTTTGATTCATATGTTCTTTTCTCCGATTAATAATAAGATTCATAAATATAAATATGTTGTAACTTCCGTTCGTTCGTATCTTTCGAAGATCCTTTTAAAAAGAAAGATTTTCAGGCGAAATCAAACGAAATCGATTGAACATGCATAAGAATAAGGCTTCGATTATTCGAGTAATCCTTTAAACTGATTAATCAGCTATACGTTGAAAAGACAGTAGATAAAATGCGAGTGGTTTATTGTTCTATACTTGCATTTAATTTAAAGTATCGATTGTATAATTCATGAGTATTTCGGTTGGATGAATAAAACAGGAGGATTTTCAGAGAACAGTTTTCGGTCATCTCTCTCTCTCTCTCTCTCTCTCTCTCTCTCTCTCTCTCTCTCTCACTCTCTCTCTTTCTTTCTATTGTCTCTCTTATTAAAAGTTCTTGCATAATCTGAAAATAAATATTAATTAACATCCGATACTCCGATATGTATATCTTAAAATTTTATGTGTATGAGTACGTCCATCTCAAATTTTCATAAAACAATGACGATCAAAGACGTCAAAACGACAGTCGTGGTTAACGAATAAACGACAGAAATATAATTCCTTGCTATTTTAAAATTGGCATTCTTCTATTAACGATAAATGAATCGTTTT